TCACTGAAGCTGCGCGAGCGAAGGAAAAAAAAAATTCACTTCCCATCCATTATTCACCTCAAAATAAAAAAAAAAAAAGCTTTTAACAATCAATCGATTCGGAGAAGAGGTTAGTTGTTATTTTAATGTAATGTAATTACATATTTGTTTTATATGTTTATGAATTTGTAAGAAATATTTGTTGGTTTTGATGAGTATAGTTTAGAAAAGATTTATTGTTGATTTAATAGTTGTCTTAAATGATTATACATTGTTCTTGGATGATGGGATTCGTTGTATGTTGAGAATTTTTGCGAAAATTGGATAATTTGTATTGTATAGTTTGATTTTGAGAATAAGGGTTTTGGAGAGTTATTTTATAAAAGAATTGGTGATTTTTTTTGTTATTGTAGTATTAATTGAAAATATTTATCTTGATTTGAGTAAAAGAATAATTGAATTTTCTGGGAAATTATGTGTTGTTGTAATTGGGAAGAATTGTTTTTTGCAACAGGTATAAAAATGGCGTCTACCGGACCATACTTTGTTAATGTGTATTGGAATGTTCGAAGGACTTGTTATATGATTTTTCAGATTTTAAAAACTCTCCGGATGGTTCATTTAGCATTGGGGAGAGGCTATCATTTAATGAATTGGTAGATATTCTTTATGAAAATTTTGGGTTTTATCGAGATGGTTGGATAATTGAGAAGATTAGTTTACTGAGTAGCGAACACGATGGTTCGTGGAATATTGGAAACCTGAATACTAATAGTGCTGTTGATTGGATATATAATTTTCCTCCTTTCTCCATTGCATTTAGAGTTGAAGCAGGTTACGCAGGCACCTACAGAGGTTACGCAGTTTGAGGATGTTGCCCCTTTTTACGGGGGAGTGACTGATGTTGAGGGTACGTCCACTTCGCATGTTCGTAATTTTGGCGAAGGGACAAGCTCAACAGTTAGAGAATGCGATAATGAGGAAGAAAGTGATCATGATTTCATTTGCGGTGAAGACGATTTCACAGATGATACCTCGGAAACAGAATCAGATAGATCAATAAACGAGGAGAGTGAACCAGAATTTATTGAAGAACACCAATTTCCTAGTACCGGTAAGCACGTGTATCACGAGATGGGTGAGTGGGACCCGGCGTGTGTAGACCGGAATGAGTATGCCGTGCCAACCTGGAATGGGAATGTCGAGACTATCCGTTTAGGTACTGTTTTCCGGTCCAAGGGAGAAGCACAGACGGGTATCATGAGTTGGAACGTTAGCAGGTTGAGGGAGGTTAAGACAACCTATTCGAATAAGAAATCATTCAAGGTGGTGTGCAACTCCAACGAAGATGAACCTTGTCCGTGGAGCGCTCGGGTGACGCACTGCACACGAGTTCATGAACTATGGGAAGTAACGGAATGGACTGAGAGGCACAGTTGTCTGCAAGAAGTCGAAAAAAATGACCACAGAAATGTAACCGCCACAATGATCTCAAATCTTGTCATGACCAAGATCCAAAAGAAGCCCGACTACAGTGTTACCCTGATCCAGGAGGATGTTAAAAAATGTTGGAAAGTCGATGTGAGCTACAAGAAGGCATGGCACGGGAGGAAAAAGGCCATCGATAGTTTGTATGGCACTTGGGAATCGAACTTCGCCGAACTCCCTCAGTAAGAAAAAATTTATTAAAAATGTACGTGTTATATGTCACTATATTTATGTATTGACGATTACGTTTTGTAACGTGCAGGTTTTTTGCGGCGCTTCAAAGAGCGAATCCCACTATGGTTGTAGAGTGGGAATGGCAAGGTGGGGAAATGGCGGCCTACTATCAGCACAGAGAATTCAAATTTGTTTTTTGGGCATTTGGTCCTGCCATTCAGACCTTCCAGAGATGCCCGCCGGTAATTAGCATGGACGGCACACATTTGCGTGGCTCGTACAAGGGGAAGTTGCTCGTGGCCATTGCACATACTGCGAATAAGGGGCTATTGCCAATCGCCTATGCGATTGTCGATGAAGAGAGCCAGGAAAGCTGGTCATTTTTCCTGACAAATCTCTGGCAACATGTTGTCGGCGACAGACAGATATGCTTTCTTTCGGACAGGGATGCGGGCTTACAAAGTGCCGTGGATTCATTGGAAGCTTGGCAAGAACCCGCTGCATATCACCGGATTTGTCTTCGACACCTTCGGAGCAACGTGGTTTCTAGGTTCAGGAATAGTAAAATCCGAAATTGGTGTTGGGAGTTGGGTTCACAAGTTTCAGAGAAAAAATTTGAACAGATACGATCGCGGCTTTGGGATTGTAATCCGGACGCATACAATTACTTGTTCAAAATTCCTCTGGACAAGTGGACCCTGTTTGGAGATGGTGGACGTAGATGGGGTACTTTGACAACTAACATGTCCGAGAGTTACAACAACGTTTTGAAAGGTGTTAGGTTCTTGCCCTGCCAAGCTTTGGTACACGCCACATTCATGAAAACTCTGGACTTGTTTGAGCAGGAACAGAAGAAGTCCACGAGATGCAGTAATGCCATTGCTAGTGTCCACTATGCCGCTTATTGCGAATTGGAGAGTACGGCCGCAACTCATACGGTGCGATGTTCGAACGCGGAGAGATCCCTGTACAAGGTGACAACCGGTCTACGGGCTGATGGTAGAGGCGACAAAAGGTATACGGTTTATTTATTTATTGTATAATTTTTTTTTATTTTGGTTCATTCAAATTTTTAGTTGTTTATAAATATAATTAAATGTGGAAAAACAGGTATAAGGTTTCGTACAACCGGATGCGTTGTAGTTGTCAGAAGTGGCAGACACACAGGAAACCATGCTCTCATGCTATAGCTGTGTGTCGTCAAATAAAAGGTCAACCAAGAACCTTGTACGATCCGCACTTTTGGACGGAGAATTGGGTGGCTCAATTTTCTAATTGGAGTTTTGCTCCGATTGGTGATCCGGACACATGGCCGATGGTCAGATGGACCTTACTACCACATTGGGAGAGGATTATCACGAAGGCTGGACCAGGTCGCGCGCAAACGAAGCGTCATCGCATGCAAATTGATCGTCGGGCACGTCGCCGGGCTGATAGAGGACAGTGTAGTAGATGTGGTAATCCACAGCATTTTGTGGATGACTGTCCGTCCTCGCATCCTCGCACTGATAGATCTAGAGTTCGTGATGAGTGGGATAACTAGATTTGTTAGTGTTTATTTTTTTTTTTATGTTGGACTATTTTTTTTATTGTTTACTTTGATTTGTTAGACTATGTTTGGATGATATATTTTTGTTATGTTG